TGCCAGGTCTTAGTTTGACCACCCTTTATCTTATTCCAATCGCTGCCAGCCTTGGCAAACATCGTTCGCCTCGGCAACCTATCTGGTGACATACGTAACACATGTCCCATTAGAGCACCAGGATACTTTCGTTAAACATATTTAGTTTGAAAGGACATCGAGGACGAAGAATAGTTTCAGGTGGTAGTGAATTCGGTGAGGCAGGACGCGAGAGAACTGTGATAGTGTTTTCATCTACAGAAAAACTTGTGGTACAACCGCTTGAAGTTTCTGATAATCGAATGTGTGTGTGTGTGTGTGTGACGAAAATGGGGGTGAAATGGAGGGAAGTTGGGAAGAAAAGGAGGGTGTTCGAGGTGTATACTTGTTTATGATTGGTTGTAGAAGAAGATTTTAAATTCGGATTGGTTGATACACGAAAGTTCATAGTTGCGTGCGTTGTAGATTGTTCTACTACTCGTTCGCTACCAAGGGCGAACTGCATGGTGGTGGCGTTTTCCCTAGTTAACCAGTAGGCCGTTACTTCCTTGATGGGACACAATAAGGGTAATGGCCATATTCACTGGTGGACCACATTGGCCATATCACAGCGCTGTAGAAAGATATGTGACGTTTGGTACGGAGCATGCTTGCCCAACTGTGATCAACCCATCACATCCTCAATGATGTGGTAATGATCGTCCGCAACCGTCTTATTCAATGAGCTTAGGCTACCATATTTACGGTTGGCCTTAAATTGACGGCTGTTCTACTATCCGTGACCTGGGAACGCGCTCGGTAACATACAGCTCTGCCCTTTCGAGGTCAGAAGAGATGCATAATTTCGTGCCATATCCACTGGTACTCAAGTGTTTGAATTGTTGATTATGCTTTCTCTTAACAGCTGTAAATCGCAAAGGATTTTATGAGTGAGTGGACGTTAGAGGTTGGTCATATCACTAATACAGTCATTGTTTGCTTTGGGCTTTTCAACATATAAAATAATGTTTTTACTTCCTTTTTGTTAATGGACGATAAATGTATGCAGCTCATTTTCACAGAGACTCCGATCAATCAACGGCTGTCTGGAAAAAATACAGAAATGGAGAAGATAGGCGACGGTCAATTCAGTTCAGTTTTTACTAACATTAACCATACACTTTTTGTGAGCGACGGTGGCGGGATTCGGGCTCAGGACCTCTATTCGCTATATTAATTACCTTGACCACATCATCACCGCCGCTCATTGTCACATTCGTAATTTTAGTGATCGATTTGAAGCGAATTAAATCTACTGAGGAACTGTAAAATGCTTCACACTTCCGAAGGTTTATTTGTTCGTTGTTCTGCTCTCATAGAAACGGGTCGAATTATGGACTTAACGCGTTATGCCACTTGCTTTTTCAGGCACCAGTTTGTTCTGTCTGTGTTTTTATACCACTACCGATAAGTTCCCGCCCCACAATATTGGATCCTTTAATAACATAGATTCATGCACTTGAATAAGGCTAGCCTCCTGAATTTTCGTAGACTGTTTTTCTCTCTCAATTTTCTCCGAAATCTTTATTGCCGTTTAGGACACTGATGATCCAAAAGTAGCATTGGAGCTTGGAGCCATTGGTGCTGGTGGGACTGATTTATTTTCTCGAATTGAGCACGGAACGTTTCACTGGGAGGAATACGACATAGTGGTCGCTCATACTGATTGGGCCAGTACGGTCAGTAAACTCCGTCACGTGCTCAAGGACCGTTTACCAACCCCGAAAAACGGTGAGTCTAACTGTCGATCTGAGTTTTTATTATTCTCTGCACTGTCAAGCTGGCACCACCGTGGTCCATGTTGTCAGTTACTGAGCAGGACAAAAATAGATGTGATGATACTCGGTCTTCTTTCTTGCAGTTGCTATTTTTGGTTATGTTGAAGCATTCGTAACCACGCGAAAATCCCCAAGCTAACTCTCGGTTGTGACAAAAGTGTACGCTATTGGCGTGTTTCAGAAGGAACTGAACAACTTCCCAATGCTCGTTTCTGATCGGTGCTGTCGTGTTTAGATGTGAATTATTCTGTATTGGTAAATGATTCTCCGAGTTTACGATACTATATGTGTAGACTATCAAGTGTCAGACGCAAAATTTGCTTGGGTAAGTATTTGGTCCATGAATACCGGAGATCAGTCACCAGAGCTGGATATTCGATACACGAATGTTGCAACGACTAATCACTAATACCTCGGTGCTCTCCTGGTTCTCCCTGACGCGCGATAGGTTTGTAGTATTATGCACAGTGGCTTACAAGATGCAAAACGAAATCATTATGAAGTGATAGGTCCTGTGAGGTGTATGCGCATGACTCAAAGTACACGCAGCGGACCGCGTCACTCCCGTGAACACCAATTCAAACATTTAACTAGCAGCATCTTCAAGGTCTCAAATCAACCGATAACACTTACATCCTTATTGGGATCGGTATAACTCACTAACGCATTGACCAGTAGTAGGCCGTGATTTCCAAATTTCATTACTATTGGCCCACTTCGTCTTGTTGCCATGGTGATGAAATAGCCTGATCATAGACATCGCAATCCATTTCCTCTTGTCATTCGCTTCCGATTAAAGTACTAATGAGATTTCACCATACCCCTGCATTTGAGACCATGTGTGTAACTGTTTCAGCCATGTGAGACATCATGAACAGTGGCCAAACTAAAACCTGACATGAGAATATGAAGATCCTGACCGGGAGATTTGTTTGCATAGGTCGCGTTAGGTTTCCTGCATGGAATATAAGGAGTTAGTGATACTGAATGAAATGGTTGTAAAGTAAACAATGGCAATCGTGCTTCTACTCATTATCCTTACAGCCTTCATCTTCATGAACTGTCTATTCTCACTCTGACACTGACTTGAACATACCAATCTTCCCTTTATTCCTTCATCCAAATGGGCAGTTATGAGACAGAAACCTAAAAGCTTCAAGTTGAAACAGTGTTATAGCCTGTGCATCTATCTCCGTGACCCGGTGAAATACATCATATGAACTTATCCTTTTTTCCAAATGGGAATTCGTCGTGTATATAGCAAATGAAGCGTGAACTGAAAAGCTTGGAAGCACTGGACAGCTGTTTCGACTTGGTTGGGTCTCATCAGCAGTGCGAATCCATCGACCCGATTGGGGATTGAACCCGGGACTTCATGGACAGAACGCAAGCGTGCTACCCACTACACCACTGAGCAGCTGATCAGACCGTTTTTCATTTTCCATTTACACAATATAGCACAACCCATCTTTGTTGTGCGTCTCCATATGCTTCTCTACTACCTCTTCACTCCGACATATGTCGATGCATTGTTTCAATGTCAGCTTTGGAAGTTTTAGGAGGCGCTTCACCACAGCAGAATCCCGTAGGCCAACGACAATTCGGTCCCTTATTAGACTCTTCCAGACAGACAGAAATTGTACGAACGAGCCAGTGATTTTAGGGCTAGGACGAATGCGTTGAGGAACTCACCACGCTGCTGTCTCCTCTGGTTGAAAATGTATCGTTCATAGGTCTCGTTGGATTCGCCAAGACAGTACCGCTCCATTTTCACCATCACCACCAGCCAATATGCACGGTCCTCATCCGGACTGTACGTGAATCCGTGTATGACACGCAGAGTAGCCGGACCAATCGTGTGACGGAACAAAGCCAATTGTACGAGACTGGATTCGCGGTCTATCTCTGTCAGTGTACGAAAGTTTCTATACTGTGTTCGCCACAGTCTCCAGTTGTCAGCCAATCCACCCGTCTCCTCCATGGTCAGGTACGCCGGCGGTTGGACTTGAAGTCGACAACTGAGTCTCCGACATTGGGAATTTTTCATCATTTCCCACTGCCATCATGTCAAAAGTCGGTTCTTCAGGAAGTGCTCTCGATTTATTTTCAAGTGCACCGGACACGAATCACATTTGGGAAGGGAATCACAGGTGTTTATATATAAACCTAGACTAGTCAGATTGTTCGGTCTGCAAAATTAAAGTCTTATGCGGACCAATCATAAAAGCACAATTGATGCGGTGAAACAAACAATCAATTCAAACAACACTTTCCAACACCAAAGTAGTTTGGTACGGAATATGCAATTTGCCGCGGAGACAACAACAACAAGAAGCAGGCTTATTTCAGTAAAATCGTCCTGTGGAAAAGAAGTGTACGGATGACAACCGATCATGACTACCAATGCGTGTTTTTCATGGCACTCGTATGTTCACTAAACCCTCCGACCCTCTGTGAAGGGTCGAGTGTATGCTACGACAGTTCGGCCAGTCCTGCTACACGGTGCAGAAACTTGGCCATTAAGAAAACAGGATAAAGAGAGATTGTCGGTGTTTGAACACCGCTGTCTACGCAGCATTGCACGAATCTGGTGGGGTAGCCGGACGAGAATTGCTGATGTTAGACGCAGAGTTTTGGGTATCCGCAGTCGCCCACTGGAGCAAGTGGTCGACTCAATAGATTACGTTGGCTGGGACATGTGTTACGCATGTCACAAGGTAGGTTACCACGGCGAGCGATGTTCGCCGAAGCAGATACCGAGTGGAAAAAAGCCAAGGGTGGTCAAGGTAAGACCTGGCATGAGGGTATGGAAACCCTAACCAGGAGTCTGGGTCACATAGGTCCTGTTAGGCTCCCTGGCTGGGTACCTCGGGATGATCGTAACCGAAGGTTAGAGACACTGAGCGATATGGCTGGGTGTCGTAAACAGTGGCGTTCGTGCATCTTCTCAATCTCCTTGCAACCTTAGATCACTGAACTTCTCCATTTTCTGTTCGACTCCACTTTCAACTTTCCTTTCTGCTCCTATTCTTCATCCAGATGGGCAGCCAAAAGACAGCGACCAAAACCGGCGCTCGAATATGCGTGTTTAATAGTTGTTCAAACTGAAAACTGATCCCTCCGCGTGTAGTTGGGATCGTGCACAGCTCAGACGGGGGATTGTCACCACCGAACTATTTGGCTAATATTTTGACTGTTTTAGTACCCGTGCGGTCAGGTAGACAGTTTTCTTCTATTTGTGACGGTGTTTTAATTTCAATGTGTATCTGGTTGGTTTGAATGTTTAATCGAGTTTTGATGTTTTATGTCACTGAATTCCCCGTGGAAAGATCCACGTACGATTTGACCTTTCTTATTTAACTGCTTGTTCTGATTGATCATTTCGGAGATAATCTACCGATAAAGTTATCGACATCGCTTTTAATTCTTTCATGAAAAATTATAAATAGAAAACACCGGTCATATTTTCCCATTTGATTCAGGTCGGATTGGTGAAGATATCAGTGCTTTGGTTTCAATGTATGTGAATGGAGTGGGTCTGGAATCGACCCGGATAGAGGGTGTACCGGAAATAAACAATTTAGATGTGATTGTCGGTCAAGTGAGTTTTCTATTCTCTCCTCATGTGATTCACGTGAGCACAATACGCAGAATCCAATCCACCCAGTCATTCAACTTGACCACTGATACGCTGTATCCCTCCCTATTCAGTGTAGTGTTTCTCGTTTTGTACAATATTTGCTCACAGTGTAACATGAGATTTCAACCACAACTCATGAGCAGTACTCAACCAGTTCCTGAAGTAATATTGCTAGTAGTTGTTGTAGTTCAATACCTTCTTGCCTAATTCGACTTCAACCGGTTCATCCGCAAGTAGCCATGAAATCCTCGAAACTCAAAATCCGCCTTCATAGTATCATGGTACTTCTCAGCTGACCTCCCGTTCGGTAGGGTCAAACTGATCACACCCCATGACCACGATGGGCCCCTATAAAGACTGATCATTGTTGAATGTCAAAATACTGTCCATATATCTCATTGTTTGTTTTGCTCCTTCAGTGTTCGAACGCTTTTCGTCCTCTGATATGCTTTGCTCTCAAGTGGCTTGGTTCTCAACCGTATGTGATCACTGAACAGTTAGCCACCGCGAACATTCTGGTCTAGGAACTTATTTGTTTGTGTTCAACTTGACTTAACGAGCATGAGAAACGCACTTCTCCCGTCACCGATGTAGTCGAGAATCTCATCTCTGGCCTGACCGGTGGGCATCATTGTTTACCCTAGGTATTCGAGCGCTGTTCCATATTTGGTTCTTTTTCTGTTGACTGTCAACGATTGAATTTGGTCGAATGGGATGCCGGTTCGAAATCAAAATTTTCCAACTCTTCTAAATTGGTGGGCTGCCCATAACTGATTCATCTGAGTCTTGACCTCTTACTGGAGTGAAAACACCGTCGCTTTGAGAGAGAGAGAGAACAGTAAGCACAGCGTCATCAACAGATAATTACAAAGTGGCACTCTGTGGATGTACTACTTGGGGATGAGGATGAGACCTCCCCTTTTCACTCGGATAAACTGGGATATTTTGGTGTCCGAGAGCTACAGTTTCTGATGATTAGCACACTGAGCAAAGGGCTTTATTGATCAAACAGTTTCTTATTTAGTCCATAGAAATTCGCATTCAGCAGATTTTGTTGTATGTTCTCTCTCTGGTAGTTCGTTTAATCTCCTACAGAAACTCTTTGGCCAATAATATGTATGAGGCACGCGAGGTGGTAAACTTTCAGGAATTCCAATTCGCACAAGAAGATCAATACAAGGATCCCTAAACACCTTGATTATTCCATTGTGCTCCCTGATATTGCTGTGCGAAGCGGTACCCTTTATCACGGGAGGATGGAATACGCAAATCAGGCCTCCATATGACTGCACTAGCCACATTTTTTGCAACCAAGATCCTTAATTAGCAATAACTACAGATAGTATATCTCAGTGCTACCGAGCTGGACTCCAGATCGAGAAAAGGAGAACAACCACTCCTATCGTTAACCGTGAACAGGTGGATTAGTTCCCCTATGTAAGCGGCAGCAGGCAATCGGTGGTGATTCTGGAGAATGTAGTGGGTTTTCACCTAGCTGTCAAGCTCTCTGTGTAAACTTTGGATGTTTTCGTAACGCCACTCGATAAACCCATTGCTATGCAATCTCTGAACAAGTTGGATGTCCGGTATCGATACACACCATCCCAAGGACGTATAAACCGTATGCTTGGCTCCCAACAACTTAACTTCTTTGCTATCATGCTGTTCTGCACTTGATTGTGCAATGGTTAGAGGCAATTCATCGAACAAAACTATATGACTTTGAGAAAAAAAACGTCTGTCCGAACAATCACTTTGACTGCGTAGGGAACAATTTCCTGAAGGAATAAATTTTAAATCCCCAGCACTATTCTCCAATTTTCTGCGAAAGAACATGAAGCACGTTTTGACCAAACTCCCCCCCCTCCGAGGACCCGCACACTCCGCTGTGATGCCACCAACATGGCTAAGTTATACCGGAACATATTCGCTGCTGATATGGAGGCTGCAGCAGCTGTGATTTACTGCTGTATCGTTTAATTAAAAAAAAATGTTCCGGATACGACGAAGCCACTAGAACTCCGTCCACGGAACTCAGTGAGCCCCCTCTGATCCGGGAGACCCGGAGACAAATTTAAAGCTACCTAATCGCTCCTTGTTGTACATTAATTTCTGACACGGAGGAAAAATAAATAAATACTTGGTCGGACAACACTGTTCTGGGCTGAGAAATTGTCCTCGTTTCTTCTGCGCTGCTGCCTTCAGGGGGTCAGTCGTGTTATCAGGAGACCAAAAAGCGTTTATTTTCAAGACCCGGTCTTCCTTCAACTCCCCGTTCACGAGGACGCTGTTATACAACCATGGACCAGCACCATCCAGACTGATATGTGGAATTTTGCGTTTGCGATCTGTCTGCTGCTTGTGCTGTTCAGACTGCAACTGGACATCCGTTAGTGCACATCACCAAGCGTGGACAGTACCTGTCAGAGATATCCCTGGAAGTATGGAGGATTTTTCATCACGACGAGACTGCATCTTGACGTGGTGTGATAGCTTGCGCGCCTCAGTGACCCTGCGAGCTACACAGGATGGCTC